GGGCCCGCGGGTGCCGCCGCCGCCCCCGCCCCCTCCCGGTGTGCGGAGCCCGGTTGTCACTCAGCTCCCGCGCCGGGGGTGACGGAGGCGGCGGCGCCCGAGTCGAGTCCCAGCCAGCTACCGTCCCCCTGGACCTCCCAGGCTGGCCCCGGATCGCCCAGGCATCCTCGGAGCGAGCGGCTGCCGAAGGCGTCGAGCTGGGAGGGCGCAGAGACACGACCGTGCAGGTAGCTAGGAGCTCTGCCAGCTTTGGTGACCTTGGGTAAGTCTGTGCCTCGCTTCGCCGCCGTGGCTTCCCAATGGGGATGCAGGAGAGTGTTGAGAGGGGCGGCTAGATGTCCCTTGGGACTGGGGTGGGCGAGGGTCCGTGGCCCGGGAGGGTCCCTGGAGCGGAACCAGGGCACTGCTGGGAGGCGGGCGCCAGCAGCGGCTTGGGTGGGTGGTGCCGGGCACGTGTGTGCGCCAGCTGGGCAAAGGCGGGGCCCGCGCCCCGGTCTGCGGCTGGGCTCGGTCCCCCAGACCTACCGCCTGCCAGCCCAGTCCCAGGTGCGACACCGGGGCGCTACCTCTTTAAAAGCGCCTGGGGCTGAGCCTCCGCCGCACCATGTGATTGCTGGAAAGGCCGGGCTGGGAGAGCTGCGGCGGGAGCCCCAGGACGATGAGCCGCCGCGCGGGTCCCGGAGCCCAGCCCTGCCCGGCGCGGCCCCGCGGCTCGGCGCGCCCCCAGGTGCCCGCAACTTTGGGCACCGCCTCCGGGACCCCCTGGTGGCCAGCGGGCAGGATGGTGAGCTCCCTGCAGCCTGTTCTGTGGGCATGGGTGGGCAGAGCCAGGCAGAGGGACCCCTGTGGGGTGCGTGTGTGTGCGCCCCGGGAGCTGCCTCACACCTGATAAAGGAGCCAGTGGAGGAGTGAGCGCTGCTATTTTAAGTTGTCGAATGGACCCTCTGGGGAAGATAAGGGGAGGGGACAAAGATCAGGCAGAGAAAGGGCCAGGGTATCCCGCCAGCCTGGGCAGGCACTGGGTGTGCCAAGTGGGGCACAGCTCCAAAGGGCAGTGGGAGTTTCAGAGCTGCCTGGGCTCCCCCTGCACCTGCCGGCAGGCCTCCCCACCCCAGGCTTCCGTGACCACAGGTGCCTGCCTCGTGCCCCTTGGTGCCTGCCTGCTGATGTGCCTCGCCTGTGCCTGTCATGCCGCCCTCCATCTCGGCCTTCCAGGCCGCCTACATTGGCATCGAGGTGCTCATCGCCCTGGTCTCTGTGCCCGGGAACGTGCTGGTGATCTGGGCAGTGAAGGTGAACCAGGCGCTGCGGGATGCCACCTTCTGCTTCATCGTATCGCTGGCGGTGGCTGACGTGGCGGTGGGCGCTCTGGTCATCCCACTAGCCATCCTCATCAACATTGGGCCACGGACCTATTTCCACACCTGCCTCATGGTCGCCTGCCCTGTCCTCATCCTCACCCAGAGCTCCATCCTTGCCCTGCTGGCAATTGCCGTGGACCGCTACCTCCGCGTCAAGATCCCGCTCCGGTGAGTCCAGAGCAGCTGAAGGTACCCCCTGCGCCCCATGCTCGGTGGCTTGAGGGCCATCTAGAGAGGATAAAAGGTCGAGCGTAAGGCCCCACAAAAGCCAGATATTCCGCGGGCCGTTGTGCCCCAGCCCTCACTCTGCCTTCCTGTCCTCTGCTCTACTGAGGGAGGCCGAGCTGCAGTGGAAGCCGTGAGAGCCTGGGTTGCTGGAGGAATGTGAACCTGGCAGTGCCCACGACCCCAGAGCTGAAGCTGCGGCTGCTCTCCTGACGTGGCCAGGAATCCCAAGGCTGCCTGTGCAGCCTGGGGTGGGGGGTTTGGAGGGGCAGCCAAGACAGTCGCAGTGAGCTCAGGGTGGGAATAAACAGCTCCGCCCGTTCCGGGGAGGTGGCAGGGGCAGAACAGACTGCTGGAGTGGGGTGAGGATGGACGGAGGGGGACGTACCAGGGGCAGAGGAGTGCTGCTTCTCGAGCCAGACCCGGGCAGGCTTCCCGAAAGAACGCAATCTTCGGCTCTCCTGTTCTCTGGCATCTGTGGCCAGCTCCGCCCTCCAGGGCTGTCCTTTGAACCCAAGCAGTCTGATTACTTCTGCCCAGCTCCCACTCATGGGATCTCCGTTGCAGGCAGGAAGAGGGAGAAATTCAGGCACTTGCTTTTACTGTGCCTGTTCTGTCCCTAACCCACGTGTGTCTTTGCCAGTCACAGCAGAGGTGCTTGTGCGGTGTCCAGGCAGCGCCGGGGTGGGTGGCCTGACAGTGGCAGCCCTCGTGCGGGTGTCCAGTCCACGACGGGGCCTGCCAGGACATTATCTCGTCGCCAGGCAGTGCCTGGGCCACCGAGTGCCAGCGAATGCCTGGGCGCACTGCCAGGGCTGGCCCGGCCGGGATGCTCTTGTGAGGCGGGCTCGCCCCCTCTTTGAGTCTTGTCACCAATAGGTTCCCTTTCTACCAGGGAGCTCTGGCCATCTCTGGCACCTGCCATCCCCAGAGTCACTTCCATATCTGGGACATGGGGCCTCTGGCCTCACTTGGCAGCTTGCCCGGGGAAGGCCTCGGCGCCCACGCTTCTCCTGTTTGCCTTGCATTTGTGCACATTTACCTTTTCAAAGCTTTTCTTCATGCACAACCTTTTCCTATTCCCTCCGTGATCCCCTAAGGGAGGTGGAGTAGGAGCTGGGAAAGGAGAAACTTCAGAAAGACCCAGAGGGTCTCCCCAAGCGGGTGGGGAGCACAGCCTAGATTCCACCGCCCACCTTCCTTCCTGATTTCCCGCCCCCTCCCCCACCCCCCACCATCCCAGATTCTGCGCCTTGCTTACAGCCCTCACACTTTCCCAGGGGAGGGGGGTGAAGATGGCTGCTCAGGGCACAGGGGGAGGCACAGGAGGTGGCCCTGGAGCCCCGCAGGCACAGCCGCAGAGGGGCCTTCATGTTGCCATTAGTCCCAGGTCGTGGCTGGGCTGTGCAGAGGAAGCTGGTCGCAGCCCATTAGAGTGGGCTGGGCCTCTGAGCGGGACCATTACAACAACGTATTGCCACATTAGAAAACTCACACAGACACGCAGATGTAGGAAGGCCTGCGCAAGAAATTCTGTCTGCTGAGCAGATGCCAAGGTGAACCAAAGGCCTGATCCTGCTGTGACGGAGGTCACAGGCCTGCCGAATGTGCCCTACTTGCCCTGTGGGGAGGGGGCTGGCTGTGCCAGCAGGGACTGCAGGCTCGTTCTTCCAGGAGGCAGCTGTGGTTGTTCCTTGCTCCAGCTTCCGGGAGCCAGGGGTCTTGAGGAGCCGCTGCCTTCCGAGGGCCGAGGCAGGCGTGTGCACAGAGGCTAAGAATACAGGCTGGGTTTGAATCCTTGCTATGCATTCCTAGCCGTGTGACCTCGGGAAAGTCGCTCGTTAACCTCGTGAGGCTTCAATTTCCTCATCTATAAAAGGGGATATTAATAATAGTACCTTCTTCCAAAAATGATTGGAAGAATATAATAAACCCCTATACATAAAACACTTAGTACTATGTAATGCACTCAGTATTATCTGCCAGCCATTCAGTGGTATGTTTATGTTTGTAGCTTTAGTATCATTATTCACGTATGGCTCAAAGTGGGTCTGAATGAGCAAAGCCCTCGCCCCCCACCCCACTGCGCCCTGGTGCTTTCAGACAGCAACACACACGCCCCCACACGCGTGCACATGCGCACGCGCACAAACCCCGCGTTTCCAGGCAGATTTCAAAACACCGTTAAGTTATATTTGTACGTGAACTTGTACTTTTCTTCCCCGGTGGATTGTCACTGTGTCAAGGGCAGTGATCTGAGCAGCAGCAATTGCATTTTGTCCATTTCTGCAAATTCTCCAGAATGCCTCGCCCAGTGTCTGGCACATGGAAGACACTCAGGAAATGTCGACTGAACTGGATGAGTTTTCAGAGCTCATAGGGTTGAGCCTCAGGCAGGCATTCCAGATGTCTAACCTCTAACCTTCTTGCGGGAGACTAGACCGCCCGTGCATTCTTTTTATTTATTTTTTATTTTTTAAATGTTTATTTAATTTTGAGAGAGAGACAGACAGACAG